GCGGCTCTGCCTCCTCCTCTGCCTGGGGCCGCCGAGCCGCCGCCTGCTCCCGCTCGGCGCCTTCACTGCCACCCGGCTCGCTCTCTCGCACTAGCTGTCTCTCCCTCACCCGGTCTCTCTCTCTCTCTTGCTCTCCTCTCCCTCCCACCCCGCCCGCCGCTCGCTCCCCTCCCTCCAGAAGCCCGCAGAGAGATATCGCCCCTCCCCGCGCCCCCAAACCTCGCCCATCCTCCCCGCCAAACGCGGCTCCGCCCCTCTCCCCTCGCCCTCCTCCACCCTTCATCTCCACTTCCCCATCCCCAAACCCAGATTCCACCCCTGCTTACCCCCTTGTATCCCAAATGGGGTCCTGCTCCTCCCAGAGGAGTCCCTCTCCCAGAGTGCTCCCTACTCTTTCTACACATGGTGGGGTGCTATTTGTATTTGTAGAGAGTCTGTATATTCCCAAAGTGAATGCTGAGGGCTATAGAATTCTGTCCTGTGGTTCCCCCCACTGTGAGCGTGCGCGCGTGCACACACACACACACACACACACACACACACACACACACACGAACCCTTTCATATAAGCCCCCACACACGGAAGTACCCGAGATAGGCATATGTCCCTTCTCCCTACTGGTCCTGTAAAGGTGTAAAGGAAGCATACTCACAGCTGCCTACTCCTTAGGGCATGCCTGCCCAGCACACAGGACCAGAGACACTCACCTGGCTTCATGCACAGTGTCACACCCCAGTGTCACAGCATACCGACAGCACCCTGCAAGATTTACCCACACCATACTCCAACTGCCTGCTCAGATCTGCCCACAGAAGCACACGGTAGACAGACGTGCGAGCTGTCTGAGTGAGCTCACCCACCCCCTGTCCATCACAGGTGTGCACACCTGTTTGACTGCACACCCCGCTTATAGCACCCCCCCCCCCGACAGCTATCCCTAAGGACAGGTGCCAGGTTTAGGGACTTCTTTCCTATTCAAGCACAGAGAGGCTAAGTAACTTGCTTCAGGTCACCCAGCTCTAAAGAGGTTGTGTCAAGGATGAAGAACATAGAGGATGTCCCTGTAGTCTCCAGTGGCCTGCTATGGTGTCCCAAAGAACATTGTGTATCCCCACGCATCATATATCACCTCTAATTTCACACACATGGGCACATCGAGCTAAGAGTGTGTAGGGGGTTAGCGTTCTGGTGCTTGGTACATTCATAGAGGCAAGGCAGATCCGTTCATCATCCTGCAGCCGTCTTCGGTCCTGACTTCTCCTTTGTCCCAATTCCAGCTGCATCCCCAGAGCCACAAGGGAACACCATTACCTATAGAGGGCGGTTCCAGGTAGCTTCTGGGTTCATCTGCAGCTGCGGGAGCATCCTGGGGTAAGCTGAGTTAGTGCCATTGCAAAGAGTACCCATCCAGGTGCTGAGCAGCTGAGCCCATGGAGAACAGCTGTCTGTGCCGGCACCAGCACTGAGTGGCTATGCACACTCAATAGTTTACAAGGCTGTTAAGCATTATGTGGAGGTCTCCAGCCTCTGGTGAGGGACCTCTGCGCTACTGATGAGCATCTGAGAGGCTCCGAGGGAGCCAGGAGGCTGCCCAAGGTCACTCTGCCCTCCATGTTCCAGGCTTTCTTGAAATCTGGTGTGTTCCTTTCCAAGACCCCTCATAGGGCTCTCAGCAGCCAAGGGCAGATGTAAGGCACCTGCCTGGAGCCAGCAGTCTTGGCTAGATGCCACCAAAGGGCTCCATAAGACTGCCATGTCCCCTCTCTGAGCTTCATTGCTTTTTCCATGCAGAGCCTGGGCCCCTAGAGCTCTGGGTCATGAATTGGCAAGACCTGCTGGACTCTAGTTGGAAAAGCCCTGCAGGACTTATGGTGCTGGCATGGAGTGGGCATGGCACAGCCTTCTACTTCCCCAGCACTGGATCCTCCCACAGGCTTCGGTACCTCTACCTAGGCAGATACCTTGAGAGCACAGGTGCAACCTAAACACAAAAGTCTGTCTCTGAGGCTTTGACCAAGCTGCTGTTACTCTGCCAGGAACCTTCCTAGTCAAACAGCTTAACTGAGCACTTATTAGGTACTAGGAAACCCTGCTTTGACTTGGGGATACAGAACTATCCGAGAATCCAAGCCTTGGTCTGCAAGAAACAGACGTGAATAAACAAGGCCATGCTGGTTGGATCATACCTTGAAGAAAAGGGGGCGTTTTAGAAAAGCATCTCATATGGCGCTCAGAGCTGAGACTCCAGCGATGAGGAGGAGCTGAGGGAAGAGTCTGCAGGAGGAAAAGGATAGGGAGGACACAGCCGAGGTGGAGGGTGAGGGGAGATGAGGTGAGCCTGCAGAAAATGCTTCTCTCCCAGGCCCTAGCGCTGCAGGCTGTACTGAGCACTGAGGCCCAGGTTTGGCTTCTCTCCTGCTTCTGATGGGAAGGTGAGGAAGCAGGGGCGTGGGGAGCAATGTGATCTGATTTATGGTTTGGAAGGATTGCTCTGGCTGCGGCAGGCAAGCAGCCCAGATTGGAGGGGCTTGGAGGAAGGAGGGGGAGAGCGGGGGGGAGGGGACTGCAGTGGTCTAGGCTGGGGTGAGGCAGCTTGTAAAATGTTCTCTGCTCAGAGTCCAATGCTTGGTTAGTTCACTTCCTGGAGATACCTGCTCTGACTGTCCACCTCTTCTTCTCTTTGATGGGGACCACTGGGCCCACTACCACCTCCCACCCCAGCATTAGCCTGCTCAGGGCCTGGCCTGCAGGAGAACCTTGGAGTTACATATTTCAAGCTGTACACATGATGCTGTTCACACATGTCCCCACAAGCAGGCATACACAAGGGTTGGCAGGGCAGGGACAGACCATCTGGGTGGGGACTGGGAGATTCTGGAGCCTGAGGATGGCAGAAGAGTCCCCTTCATCAGGCTGTGTGGTCAGTAGTGACCACAGATAATAACAACCTTAGCATACCCTGCAGTCTGCTCCCTCCTCAGGAATGGCCAGGAGGCGGGGAAAGGAACAAAGCCAAAGTCAGCATCCTATTGTGGCCTGCTTTGTTCTAAGAAGGCTCATGGACCAAGGCTGAGGCCTGCCAGCATCAAGGATGCCCTACAGAATGTTCTCCATCTTTCTTCTGTCCATCTAAGTGCTTATACTTGCAAAAGGGAGCAAAAGGGGGCAGAAATAGTTCTGGAAAGTGGCAAGGGGTGGGTGTGGGGAGACCCAAGGCGGGATCAGGCTGTGGAACGCTGGAGGTTTCCGGCCACAGAGGCAGAGCCTCCTGGAAGCCAAGAGGGGCGGGGAGACACACCAAGAGAATCTGAGGAGACCAAGAGTTGAGACAGACCAGATCATCGGGAGGGAGGCAGAAGAGAAAGACAAGCAGAGTGGAGGATCAAGAGGCTAGTGAGCTGCCAATATAGGACCAGGACACCCGCCAGTCTGAGACCCCCAGTCCTATCTATCCTGCCCATAGGACCGGGACACTTGCCAGTCTGAGACTCCCAGTCCTATCTATCCCAGTCATTCTGAACTTTACTAGTTTGAGTGCTGGGAAGCCCAGCTGGATGCAGGCAGCCTGGCTTTTAGGGGCCCTAGTGGTCCCTCAGCTTTTGGGTTTTGGCCATGGAGCCCGGGGTCCTGGAAGGGACTGGGAGGGAGGCTGGGGAGGTGCCCTGGAGGAAGAGCGAAAGCGGGAATCACTGATGTTGAAGGTGAGTGTTGGGTTTGGGATGAAGGGTTGTAGAGATGGGCAGAAAAAAAAAAGTAATGGGACTTAGATGGAGCAAGGGGTTCAGAGAAAGAGCTGAGAGGGTAGGTGAGGAGACTGATGTGTGTTCTCTGACCCACAATCTACAGGAGGCCCTGGGGCTGCCCACTGGGGTGGGAAGTAATGATAGTCTTGCTGGAAATCCTGAAGTCGAAGAGGTCTTGGGGACCAAGGAGACCCAAGGGGAAGAAGAGGAAGATGAAACCACATCACCTATTTCCAGTTCCAACCATTTCCCCAGCCCTTCTCCCACACCAGAGGACACCATCAGTTATATCTGTGAGTATTCAGAAGCCAGGATGGCCTGTCTGTCAACCACTGACCCATATGTCCCCCAGACATATCAAGGGAGCCCCAGGTCCGCGTCCTCCCCCCACATGCCTGTCAAGAGCCCAAACCACTGAACCTCATTTATATAGTTCAGATTACCTCATCCATTCCATCTTTGGGAGTTGGAGGGCCATGCCCTTCCTTTTCCTTAGGACTCCTGATTGTGCCTTCTTTTGACTATCCTGTTCCTTCACAGTGGGCCGTTTGTCCGGCCTGGATGCAGGCCTACACCAATTGCATATTCGTCTGCACGCTTTGGACACCCGTGTGGTCCAGCTGACCCAGGGACTGCGGCAGCTACGAGATGCTACAAGTGATACCCACGACTCCGTGCATGCGCTAAAGGAGGCACAGGTCCGGGCTGAGCAGGAGCACGGCCGCCTGGAGGGTGAGTCTCAGCAGCACCAAGAGGGCCTAGGTGGGAGGAGGCGCCGCCAGGGAGGTCTGAACACCTGGGGACCAAGGGTGTCAGGAAACTAGAGGGTCCACACAGAACTGGGATGTGCTGGCACATCTGTAGCTGGGTTATGAGGTGGGTGAAACACTCCTCGTTTCAACCTGTGCCGCACCCTGGAAGCTCCACCCACTCACTGTCTGGCACCGCCTACACCCTCGCCACGCCCCTCTAAGGCCACCTCGTTAGACACTGCCGCTCTAATAAGACTGCCCTCTGGCCCCACCCTTTTATAACCCACAAACGCTTGGGTCCTGCCCCTGACAGCATGGCTAGGCTTCATTGGTCACTGAAGTTCTAATCCCTCCCATTATCCACGCCCTCTCTGTCCTCAATGCTCTGACTCCCCCTAATAAGTTTCGACCACTGAAGGACCGTCTTTTAGCCACGCCCCTACCACCCTTGTCTTAGCCTCACTTTTCACTCTGACTCCGCCCTCTTCCAGTCCCTAAAGCTCTGGCCCCGCCCCATGCAGCCCTGGCTCTGCTTCATTGGTCTGTCTTACCCCAGAGTTTTGGCTCCGCCCCCAGCAGGCCTGCCTCTACCTCATTGGCCATCGCGGTCTAACTCTAATTCACTTGGCCCCGCCCCCTACCCTCAGACACCACTCAACTGCTTTGGCTCCTCCCTTTACCTACAGGCCCCTCCCTCTCCCGTCTCATTGATCACCGAGTCTCGCTCTGGCCCCGCCCCCTCTTGCTTCAATGTTCTGACTCCGCCTCACCATGCTTACAGGCTGTCTGAAGGGCGTGCGCCTGGGCCACAAGTGCTTCCTGCTCTCGCGGGATTTCGAGACTCAGGCGGCTGCGCAGGCGCGGTGCAAGGCGCGGGGCGGGAACCTAGCGCAGCCGGCAGACCGCCAGCAAATGGATGCGCTAGGCCGGTACTTGCACGCTGCGCTCGCCCCCTACAACTGGCCGGTGTGGCTGGGCGTGAACGACCGGCGCTCGGAAGGGCTCTACCTTTTCGAGAATGGCCAGCGCGTGTCCTTCTTCGCCTGGCACCGCGCACCCAGCCCGGAGCCTGGAGCCCAGTCTAGCGCGGCATCACATCCACTCAGTCCGGATCAGCCCAATGGCGGCGTCCTGGAGAACTGCGTGGCGCAGGCCTCAGACGACGGTTCCTGGTGGGACCATGACTGTGAGCGGCGCCTCTACTTCGTCTGCGAGTACCCTTTCTAGAGTGCCAGTCCTTGCCTCAGAGCTCTACTTCGTGTACCCTACTGTCTGGGGTCGCTCAGAGGTTTACAATAACCATGAATAAATTTTAATAAGAAAAGCCTTTTTTATTTTAGGTATTGGCACCCGGGGTGGTTGAGGCCAGGTGTGCCCTGAGAGAACTCCAAAGATGCAGCCTCTAGCCATATCAGCCCAGAGCTTAAAAAGGCAAACTCCACAAGATTACATGTAGTCTGCCTACGTGTAGGTCAGGGGTTTATTTGCAGTCGCCCTGGTCATCTTTTGAGTAGACTAAGCAAGTTTGATTACAAAAGCAGAAGTAGCAGTCTTACTATCTTGCTAGAACAGCACATTTTACAAGATCGGTCACTTTAAGAAGAGTCTCACATCTGGGGTCGGGATAAAGGAAGTGGGCTGACAGGAGCTCATCCTGTTAGAGGCACTCTTCTGCTTTTGGTCTCTCAAGCAGAGTAAGTCTAAACTTTTCAGTGTAGTGTTCACCACCACACCTACATCGTGTGCCCTGAGCCCCACCCTGTATGCTTTGCACCCTATATAGTGCACCATGCATCTTGAACCTTCCTTGGGCCCCGAAGTGCCACCAATCCTGGATGACTGGGCTCCCCTGAGAGATAGCCTATGCAACGTCCCCATGTCCCCATCTGTCCTGAAAGCTTCAAGCTCCCAGCTAAGCCCAGTGCCAATAAACTCTTCCATAATATGATTTGAGGGACTGTGGAGACATCTGACCTTTATTTTGCCTGGGGAGAATCAGGAAGCACCAGACCCTGACTTTGGATACTTGTACTTGTCTTTTTAAAATACAGAATGTTGAGGAGCACATGCGCATAGGAACACGTAGTTGTGCACAGATGTTTGGTGTACTCATGCATCTATGCAGATGCCAACATCCCTAGCATGCTTCCTCAGGGGCCTTTAGGACCTGAGCCCTGTCACTAATCCTCAGCAGAGAGATAAGGAAACGTGATGGTGTGCTCTAGGTCCTGCCGTTTAATCTTGTTTTGTGACCAGGGTTCTCAGACCTGCTTTCCCTGGGGCCTCATTTCATCAAGCCCATTCCGGAGAGAAGAGACATCCACTCCAACCTTACATCTTACAACTTCCAGGGAACACTCGGATTCCCTCAGTTACTTCCTGTCTGGGAAGCTAGGTCAGTCTTCCCTTCTTGGAGCCCAGGTCTCATGCAGGTCCTCTAGCAAGCCCCACCTTCTGCTTCCATGTGGTGTTGGCCTACATTTCCCAGTATGCCTGAGGACCATAGATCAGCTGTCTCCAATGAAAACTGAATTCTCTCCATCCACCGGGCTTGCCCCATGCATCTAGAGGAATGTAGTTCAGTCCCTGGCCGGTTACATAGTAATGCCTTTTCAACAAGAGTTCAAACAAACAAACAAACAAACAAATTGAAAAACTTATGAATTTTCATTGATAGATGTAACAATTTTTTAAAAGTGAAATTGCTTTATATTAAATATATACGTAGGGGCTGGAGAGATGGCTCAGTGGTTAAGAGCATTGCCTGCTCTTCCAAAGGTCCTGAGTTCAATTCCCAGCAACCACATGGTGGCTCACAACCATCTGTAATGATGTCTGGTGCCCTCTTCTGGCCTGCAGACAGAATACTGTATACATAATAAACAAACAAACAAATAAATAAATAAATATATACATATGTGTAGGAAATGGTTAGAAAATTTGGGTGCCAACGATTGATCCTAAAGATTTGAGGAGAAAGACCACCCTCCTAAATCATGGCTAAATTAATAAAAGTAAACAAGCAATTAAAGCAAGCCTTTATTTGTGTACACCAGCTGCCTCCCCCTAAGGTAGGGTTCAGGAGTTCAGGCATTGAATGTGAGGAAGGACAAGGTTTTTAATAGCTGAGGGGTTTTCAAATGTGGGATCTGGTGGGCAAAATGGGTGGGGTTACAGGAACAGAACATACCATGACAAGTTAGTCATAATGACCTGAAACAAAGACAGGTTGCAAGGGACAGGTGGTCCTAACAAGGTAGTCATGGCAACAGTGGAAACAAAGGTAGGGTTGCAAGATGGTTATGAAAAACCTTTTGAAACAAAGACATGGTTGCCATTTCCTGGAACTGGCAGTACAGAACCATTTGTAGTTAAGGTTACAGGGAGGGCATAGCCCAATCCGTGAAAAACGGAGTTCAGTCATAAACAGGAACAAACCCGGTTTATCTTCACTATAAAATGGATTTTAAACCTAAGATGGAGGCAGGCTGTTTCTTTACAACATTACTGAGTAGAATATTTAAAACACACATGAAAATTCTTTGCAACCAGAAGTGGAGGCTGACACCTGCAATCCCAGCTTTTGGGAAGACAGGAGGCAGGGCCTAGGGTTTTGGGCCAGCCTGGATTATAGAGTGAACCCCTGTCTGAACAAAAATAAAAAATAAAAAACAGTCAAACAAACACCACAAAACCCAAAACAAACGAACTGAAGAAGGCTAGGAAGATGCTCAGTCAGCAAAGTGTTTGTTCTGGAAATGTGAGGACCTGAGCTTTTATCCTCAACACCATAAAAAGGACAGGCCCGGCTGAGAGTGTCTGCAACCCCAGAGCCGGGAAACAGAGGGAGATAGGTGGAGCAAGTGGATCTGGTGCTCCACTGGCCAGCCAGCCTACCCAGCCATGTTCAGTGACCCTGTCTCAAAGTACAGGGAGGAGAAGTGATGAAGGAAGTCACTTGATGTCCACCTGAAATGGGATGGGAGCAATATTCTTTTAAAATATTTTCACCTGCTAGTGGGAGTTAAACCCAGAGCCTCATACATTCTAGGCAAGCATGCTACCACTAAACTGGACTCCAGCCCTCAAAAATTTGATTTTTCTTGGAAAGTGATTGCTAATGCTACACCACAACAGTTTAAAAAGTGACAAGAAACTAAGATAACATCTTTTTATTTAAAAAAATTTCAGGGCCAAGGTGTAGAGAGGAAGAAATAGAGAAGGAGGGAGCAAGGCCCAGTAGAGTAGAGCTGAGCAGGGTCAATTGTGTGAAGCCTCGCTCTTCTGAGATCAAAGGGAGTCTCTGTGTCCTCTGAAGTTTAAGGGAGTTGAAGTGTAAAATAAAGATCCATCCCATTGTTTTGAAGTTCTGGAGTGAAGGGTGATGTGGGATTTCCTTCTGTATATGTACTGCTTTTATTGGTTGATGAATAAAACTGTATAGGCCACAATGCCTTAGCAGAGTAAAGCCAGGCAGGAAATCAGAACACACACACACACACACACACACACACACACACACACACACAGAGAGAGAGAGAGAGAGAGAGAGAGAGAGAGAGAGAGAGAGAGAGGAAAAGGGCAGAGTCAAAGAGATGCCATGTAGTTTCCAAAGGAGAAAGAAGAAAGATGCTGCTGGAAATTTTCCAGAAAACCACAGCTTCATGCCGATACATAGATTATTGGAAACGGGTTAATTTACGATGTAAGAGCTAGGTAGGACTATACCTAAGCTATTGGTCGAACGGTGTTGTAATTAATAAAGTTTCTGTGTGCTTATTTGGATCTGAGTGGCCGGGAAATGAGCGAGCAGTCTCCATTTACAGACGGGTTTAAGATGCAGATGCGAGCAGTATATTCTGTTGGGGGAGGCCCTCGAGTTTAGCAGCAGTGGGAGTCTGAAAGGGACTTTCCCTTAGGGGAGAGGGGTAAGGGGGGGGTCACTGATCTGGGAACGAGAAAAGAACCAGGTTCCCAATATTAAAAGATGATGGGTTGGAGTGATCAGATGACCAAGGTAAAGAATGGTTGGTGAAACCTACAGTTCACAACCCCAGAGAAGCTAGGCAACAATGAGGACCCTAAGAGAGACTTACATAGATCTAATCTACATGGGAAGTAGAAAAAGACAAGATCTCCTGAGTAAATTGGGAGCATGGGGACCATGGAGAGGGTTGAAGGGGAGGGGAAGAAAGGAAGGGGAAACAGAGAAAAATGTAGAGCTCAATAACAATCAATTTAAAAAATAAAGAATGGTTGGTGACTATCTGGAGCATAGAGGGAAGGGAGGGGAGAGGGAGACTAATCAGGTGAACGGGGAGATGTAAAGGCTGAGATACGAGAGCAGGAGTCAGGATTGGTCACCCAACAGAAGCTCAAACAAAGAAATGGAGAGAGGTCGTTTGGGGAGGACCCTCAGCCGAGGAGAGCGAGGGGCAGAAGTTTTACCCAGTCTAGGTGAAGTTCTTGTGAATAAATAGTAAGAAAAATTTGAGGCAATGATTGGTTTGCTTGACCTTCCATGAGGAGTAGGGATGATAGGGATATGGAAATGCCAAGGGATCTTAAGAGCTTTGGATAAAGTTTGAGGAATTTGAGAAGTAAACTCGGCCATTGCATAGTTGAAGGGAAACTGGAACTTCAAAGTAAGGGATGATTTCTCAAAAGAGATCTGAGACTCTTTGAGCCCTTTTGTTGGTGGTAGGTTGGTGTTTCCAGTCACCCTGAAAAAGAGTCCGCCAGAACCAGGAGGTATCGATTCTTCTGACAGTGGGTATGTGGGTAAAATTGAGTTGCAAGAGACAGTGATGGCCTTTAAGAAGGACAAATCCACTCAGGTGTGGTGGCACATGCCATTAATCCCAGTGCTTAGTAGGCAGAGGCAGGAGGATCTCTGTGAGTTTGAGGCCAGCCTGGTCTACAAAGTGAGTTCCAGGATAGCTAGGGCTACACAGAGAAATCCTATCTCAAAAGGATGAGGAGGAGGAGGAGGAGGAGGAGAAGGAGAAATCCTTGAGAAGGAGCTGTAGATGGGCCTCAGTGAAGTGAGATGTGAGACCAAGCCTCGCTATTAGGGTGAAGAGCTGGTGCACACAGTGTAGACTTTGTTGAGTGTCTGAGGATGATAGTGAAGAGTGAGCTGTAAAGGATGCCACGGGGGATGTGAGAGGGACCCACGCCTCCACAAGCTGTAGCTCTAGCCTCATTGGCTCAATTATTTCCCTTGGAGATGACCGAGTTGTCCACTGGTGTGATTGGCAGTGCACAATTTCTATGACCTTCAACATGGCCATGAGCTGGTTATTGATCCTCCCTTCGTTGTTA